GCATGTTGTCACCGGATTTCAAAAATCTCTCTTCTATTACTTCTCATTCGGTCAAAATAAAGATATTTGATTTGCCATCATTCATGTATTCATCATTATCAAACGTAAGTCTCTTCCAATGGGTGCAAACCTCGTTCATTCTTATTGGTCCACCAAATTTCACTTTTTAAGCAATAACACAAGCACATGGGAGATCGTATATTTTCACAATAGTGCACTCACACTTTGCGCTATCGGAGCCTACATTATCATCTCGTTAGCCTCGTGAAAAATATAGTTCGAACCCGTCTGAGAAATGTTACTAGTCATCTGAGAATATAGAGCGTTCTCTTTAAATCTTTGTTCCAAAACTATGATGCTTCGACCAAATGTTGTTTGTATCTCATTATGATGGTTTTGAATCATGTGGCTCGTGGAGTCTCAATCTCTACACAAATTCCCCTTACTATTTCCCAACTAACTTTTCAGAGTAGCATGAGTAGACTCAACTCTATTACTTGTTGTAGTTCTAAGATGTCTAACATTATCAGTCCATGCACAAACTATCTTCTCCTTCACCTGGTCAAGAATTGTGCTTTCAACATATTTCAAAAAAACTGGATACTTTTCACACACTTTCCTGAAATGAATAATGGAATCGGCATATAGTTATTTTGTGGAAGAATTTATTTTACGATTCCATGCATCCATTATTTTTTCCACAACCACACCCGCCTTCACCATTTTTCCCTCTTTGGACCCTATTTGTTTCATCCCTACCGCGGATTTAACCGGACTTCTCACATTATTTGTTATGTGATACCTACAAAGTAATGCATAAGAAGAAGAAAATACATTTTCAACCGCAATCATCAATACACTATCACAGTCGGCAACAATCGCTTTAGGCATCTCACCTTAGACCTTCAATAGTGACCGACACACCTCTAATACCCAAGTAAAATTGTTTTCTTTTTCACACTCAAGAAATGCAAAACCAACAAAATATGTCTTCTCAGTTGAGGTAACACCAACCATCTCAAATAATGGAAGTCTACACTTGATGATCTTGTAGGTTGAATCAAGTATGAGCACCGCAGGAACATGTTGAACAACTTTATGGAATCAGGATGAGTCCAAAAAATATCTCTAATAGTAACTCCATAATCACATGTTTGGTACCTAGACACATGACTGTTAGTATCCAACAGTTTCAAGAGTTGTTGCATCTCAGTTTTATCCCTCCTAAGCGTCTCGTTAGTGAGGTACCGAATATTATACACTTTTTTTATATTTGATATATTGTCGGGTCATTTTTGTTTCAATATTGCAAGTATATTTTTCGATTGAACAAGATTCAAAGTCATGTCAGTAACACATTGCTTCTCTTTCGGCTTGAGCCGACAGACAGTAGGATGACCGGCTAATTTTAAACACAAATCATGGTTATGCAAGCTTTTACTTGTTTTTAAATTCCTTGCCAACATCTACTAATAACCACATTGAATCCAAGTTTAGAGGCCTCCATAAGAATCCATTGAAGCATTTGATCACGAGATTCAAACTCTTGCTTGTTTTTAAAGTCGTTAATATCTACCGCCTTCATAACAACACATTAAATATTTGGATAAACAACCACATCTTCGACATTCGGAGAAACAACTCGTTTTGAAAAAACATCGGGGTGCACTAAATCTAATGAAAACAATTAAAGCAATAACTGAACATAAGTGCTACTACTGCTGCAGAATGACTTCAAAAATGAACACATACAGCTTCCGAAAATGCATCTCCGGACAAGTGCATACACGTTTCAGAGATACATATATGGACACAACGTAATTTTTTTAAGAAAAAAATGATGATTAATATGAGCAATGCAGGGGAAAAAGAAAAATTTTTACTTGAAATCTTATCTTTTTTTACTCCCTATGATATGATAAACCAAAGGGTTGGAGATTTGGAATGAAAAAATGGATTGAGAATGAAGGGTTTTTAGGGTGAAGAATTTGGTTGAAAACCAAGTATGTCAACAATAGTTGAGTGATCATGCAGCTAGCTTCTATATCAGATATTTCCGGAGATGCATCTCCGAAACATTTTAAGAAAAACTTTAATTATTTACCAGTTCAGGTATTTTCAACATATAGGGCGCCATTCAGAATGATCTTATTTGAATGTGCAAGAGGTGAGTCCAGAAATACATCGGCGAAAATTGAGGGCATTTGTAGAAAGTCACCTGATACGGTAGAAGGATCTAGAATGCATTAAAAAATTCTCAAAATTATAATTTGTGCTATAGAATCACAAACATAGTTAATAAGCCAAGAGTCTAGCAAATTATTGCACATTTTCCATAATAAACAATTGAGATCATCAGTCTGTAACTGGTATTGACCCATCAATGATTTCTATTTTTAGCTCCAAGTGCTCGACACGCTGATTAGTTGCATCCAGTATAATTGAATCCGTCAAGCTTTTGCGTGACTGATACGAAATTAAATCATCACTAAGATAAACTTAGAAAACCAAATCTAATTGTGATTGAATAGATTGTAATGTGGCCATTAGAGGTGTCACTGATGAGGATCACAGAAGAAGATGATGAAGTAAAAATTTGAATTGTATTAATGAAAAATTGCAGCTAGCAAGAAAAATGCGAGTTGTTCAAAAAAAAATTGAAAAGTGCATAGGAATAAAATGTAGAATTCACTTTAAAAAGAAGAAATTGGATCGAAATGAAACTCTCTAAGAGAGCTCTTGATACCATAATATGAATGAAGCAAACTCACATCATTGATCTTTAGAATGCTTAAACAACATGCTTAAATAGTTAAGCAAATAACCATAACTAACTTTAGCTGACTAACCTGAGTTATATCAATGTGTAATAAATATAAAAAATGTATAATTTGTAACCAAGATTAGAACACAGATTATGAATACCTACTCAATATCTAAGTCTTTCGATCATCTTGTAATATTTAAGAACTTGTCGTTAACAAGTCTAGAAAAAATTGATAGGATGGAAGGTAAAATGCTTATGAAGAGGAGCCAAGAAAGTGATGATAAAAGATGTGCAAACTATTCCAAACAACATAAAGAGTTGTTACAAATTACTATAAAGATGTCAACAACTCCTAACTTGGAGATGAAACTTGGGTAGAGTGAAGGGTTTGAAAGACAAAAGACATTGTTAATTAGAAGCTTCGGTGACTTCAATAAAACACTGTTCCAAAAATATTGTTAATGACTCCCAACGGTTGATGAGACTTCAGTGAAATGGAAATTTAAAAAACAAAAATCTTAAAAAAGAAAGGGAAGGTAGATTTTAATTAGAGACTTTAATGACTTCAACAAAACACTCTTCAAAATGCATTGTTAACGATTCCTAGTTGTTGCTAAGAATTTAGTGGGACGGGGTTTGAAAAACGAAGACCTAGGTGAGATGGAATTAATTAGAGGTTTTAGTGACTTCAAAAAACATTATTGACAAATTCTAACCGATTATGAGAATTCAGTGGGGGGAAATTTGGAAAACAAAATGCACTCTTCGGTGGGATGGAGGTTTGAAAAATGAAGACGCAAGGAATATGGATTTAATTGGAGGTTTTAGTGATGGATTTAATTGGAGGTTTTAGTGACTTTAACAAAACACTCTTCCAAAAGCATTATTTACAAATCCTAATCAGTGATGAGAATTCAGTAGGGTGGAAGTTTGAAAAACAAAAACCCTGACAAAGAAGAGAGAATGAATTTTAATTAGAGGCTTTAATGATTTCAACATCAAAGCCCTCTTTAAAAAACATTGTTGACAACCCCTAATTGGCGATGAGACTTCTGTGGGGTGGGAGTTTTGAAAAACAAAAACTCTTCAAATAAAAACCCTATTGGTGATGAAATTCAGTTGACAGGAGGATTTGAGAAACAAAAGCTCTAAAAATATAGGAATGATGATTTTAATAAGAGACTTCAACAAAACACACTTTTACAAGCATTGTTGAACACTCCAACCCCGTTAGGAGAATTCGGTGGGGTGGGGGGTTGAAAAACAAAGGCTATCCCTTAACTACTTTCTTAGAGCTAAGTGAGGTGCCAACCATGTAGAAATTTATGAGAATCGGATATTTGGCAACCATCAAATATTCACTATACTAAAAAGTACCCCCAAAATTGAACACGAGATTTAAGAACTAATTCTTATAGAACCGTTCTTACTCATGGTATCCAATTCTGTTCAATGATTGTAAAGTGGATTAGAGCATTCAATTAACTAGATGTTCTAACTAAGAACACACATAATAACCAACATGAACGATGATCCAACTAATCTGCCATTCCAGATTCTGTAAAAACACAGAAATCGGTTAGGTTGCAAACACCCTGTTTTCGACTACCAAATTTTTAGGCAGCTCTATATTAATACTATCATATGAATTATGTACCCAAGAATTGCAAAATATTCCGAAAATCTATCATTCATTGCACTAGAATGTTTTTATTCACCAAAAATAATGTCGATTTATTTGTCCGGTATAACTAAGGAAATAAAAGCAAACAATTGAGAAAAGGTATTCTCAACCCTCTGAGGGGAGATTTTCCATAAACGAAGAGAACAATGTCTAAAAAATCAGCCCGGATATTTTTTATGAATTCTGGTCTAACACCTATAGGGCTTCCATGAAATAAATCATATTGTTGGCGACAAAAATTTTGATACATGATGTTACAGAGCTTTCAAACCACTTTACAATGACTCTCCCTTTGTATCCTGCAGAAGATGCTGCAATAATTATATACAGATCTAGCATATCATGACCATTCCTGTGCAGATCCAGCAAACTGTCCAAAGATTCTTTCTTTCCTGTACAGAAAGTTGGAACATAAACTACCTCTCGTAAAGAAGATAGGGCCCACGTCAAAGAGTGAGTCATATCTAACTTTCAACGAGTGAAAGTAACAATACTAATTGTTGAAGAATAACAGAAAGAGGGCTGCGGACAGACAGATGTATGGCAGCTTCATTGTCGGTTAACTTCAGTTCTCCTAAGCCGCCAATAGCTTGGGCCTGAAACATTATTATCTTCAACTTTAATATTTTCAACTAATATCAAATAAATCAGAGGAAAGAAGCAAATAAAAATAAATCCCATGTTTATCAACATTTGTTATGCAGATGGTACATACCTCGGTTAACTCCTGGAATTGCATCATGGAAGGCTGATCTAAAAGGCAGGGAGCCTCTGTAACTCATTGGCAGGTGAGGTAATCTCCAACCATGATCTGGTGATCTAGTCGACGCACTTGGATGCCAATCATAAGGGGAAGGCACACCTTTGTTATGGTAGCGAGGAACATGAAAGAAATTCAAAGAAAGATAATCATTATACATTCACCAACAACCAAAGCAAAACCATAGCATTGCCACCACCCCTTCCCCCCAAATATCATATATGGATCATCAAATATCATAATTTTTCCAGAATAATTTTTTTAAAATTACCAGAATATGTCGACCGAGTATTCCATCTATCTTCATATGGTGTCCGAAAACTCCATCTCTCTTCATGCGGTACCCGAGCATTCCACCTCTCTTCACGCAGTGCCCGAGTATTCCACCTCTCTTCACGTGCTGTCCGAGTATTCCATCTCTGTTCATGTAGTGCACGAGTATTGCCTCTCATTCCATCTCTCTCGTGAGTGTTATAGAAGTTCTCCCTCCTTGTGTTCTGCACAGAGTGTTGTCTATTGGAGTATGAAGGGGGTGGTGGAACCTCCCTCTGAGACTTTGGACGATTTTCTGCATGAATGAAAGAAAACTGATCCGATGGCACACGATGTGGTGGTCGTAGTATGTAACCTTTATTATGCATAGTAAAACCGTCAGCACTCCTGGAATTTTCTGGTGGTTGTACAGGGTGAGTGTTGAAAGAGCAAGGAGACTCTGGTATCTGCATTTGCACGTCTTTACATTCTGGGATTTGAAACTGCGCCGCATCCATAGGTCGACTACTTCTTGGTGCATCTAAGGGATGAGCCACAGAATGAAATGTTTTGCCATGCACTGCCTGTATATATGGGCCCGACCCCAAGTTAAAAAAAAAAGTTTGAGTTGTTTGTTGCTACCACTGACTCACATGAGTGAAAGATCCAAGAAAAGTTGTGAAACATACCTGTGAATCTGTAATAGGTTTTGAATCAACTGCAGTGCCGTATTGATCAGATGTAGCCGACATGAGATGCATTGTTGGTGGGGGCGGTGGAGGTGGAGGTGGAGGAGATGGTGGTAGTGGTGGTGGAGCTGGGGAAGATAATGGCACATCTTGGGTTAAACGAGGAGCAAAGGACAGAGGAGGTTTCTGATCAAGTTGTGATGCAGTTCTTCCATCAACATTACAAATCGAATTCAATTCCACACCAAAAGAGGGTGCCACATCTTCCATTTCAAGCTCGCCATCAACATCTTCCAACACATGCCTATGTTTTTCAAATGCATGAGAGACTTCTTGTACTTCATATGTTTCAGAATCATGCCCAGGCGCAGTAGCCTCCAAGTTCCCTCCATCAGAATCACTCCCTCCTTCTTCAAGCATACAGGGCATGCGAAATCCAGATAACTCAAAACTCGAGTTGCTGCAGAACCAAAGGCGACTTAAGTACATACACTGGCAGAGTATAAGAGAATAATTAAGACAAACTTTTTATGCCATCAAGTTCGAACCTTCCATATTCATCAACATGCATACCCTCCATATCTCTAATAGGATCATCTAAAGCCCTTTCTGTTCTCAATGAACGGCGTGAGTAAACGCCTGCATAAGCTGACCTGCTATACGAGTTTAATTCCCGGATGTGATGGCGAATAATGGACTCTGGTAGGATTCTTCTCTCCAACCACAGCCTTAACACCTACAAAAATTTTAGAGCAAAGGTTAACAAGAATAATGACCCAAAAAAGAGATGTATGACTAAAGAGCGTATGTGTTTAACTTTAACTAAACAGGAAGTTTCGCCAACTTGCCTTAAGACACTGCCTCCGATTTTCAGGAGCAGTATTTCCAAGAGGGGCAACAGCAGACAATAGGCGTGACAAGACTGCTTGCATAGCAGCTGGATATACTCCACCAACTTCGTCTGGGAAATCAAATTTTCAAACATCAGCATATACTAAATTCATATATTCTGATGTTTTTTTCAACACCAACAGATACCCATGCATATGTTCTTTTGTTTTGTTTTGTAAGAAATATTCAAGAATAACTAAAAGATAAACAATTACCTTTCAAACCTCGAGAATATTGCGCAATAGAGTCAACAAGGAAAAACAGATCCACTCTCCGACGAAGGCTTGGCTCGTTTTCCAGACTGTGGACAAGACTTTCCACCACCTAGATACATCCCCGCAGCCAAACCCCCCAAAAATGCATATATTGTCAAGAAAATACATGATAAGCTTTTAAATAAGGAACAAAAAAATTTAGGAGACCAGACCACAATGTAAATTAGATGGTTTAACTCCATCAAAATCATGAAGATTTAAATCAAAACACATTCATGCAAACTTCTTAGTACAAAGTGTATAATTGAATTGTGTGTAAGATAGGGTACAAAGTGCTGGAGAGATGCTCTCCCTACTAGAAGATGAACCTTCTCGGGCCAAACAGCTTAATAGAAAATGAACAAAACCCTCACGCATATTATATCCACAAATAACCGCCCATAAACTTAGTTGCTCCCTCTTAAAAACTGACAGCCTGGGTAGAAGACTTCCTGAATTTTGCCTTCTAGAAGAAGTACTAATATGCAGTGAATATCACTGCTTTATTTGCACTTCTACGAGAATGCCTAAAGTTACATTATTGATCTTAGTGCATTTCTCTACACCTGAAAAGGCACCAGTGATTTTAAATCCGGCGCAAGTAATATATGAGTGGGTTTATTACTTGGACAGAAAGTTTCTGGATGGTTCTAAGTTAAATGTTTTGCCGTGCTGATTTGAATCCCTATTTTCCACTAAAAAACTGAATTTAACTCTAATATATGAAATAACAATAATACTTTGCACATGAGCTCCATACAAGTATAAGTGATTTATAGGTAGTGACAATATTTTCTTCTCCTTTTAAAGACACAAAAAAACATAGGAAACTTGTTTTGATTCTCAAGCAAGGCAAAAAAGTGATAAAACCAGTTTTCACAATGTAACTAAAATATCCCATTGTATCCCAGTCCATATAAGATATAACTTTGATCATTCACAATATAATACAGTAATTAACATTTATAGAGACGGAGGGGAAAGAAAATAAGGATTAAAAAAGGGTCATCATATTACCTTTGTTGCAATGCCAAACTTTGCACAATCAATAGCAATGTGTGTTGCTCGACCAATACTTTCCTTTGTCCTTTTCAATGTCACAAGCACTGCTTCAAAATATAACAAAGCAGCGTGTCCTGTTTCAGTTGACTTGTCTATAGATCTTGATCGTTGATTTGCCACAGCCCCAACTTTATATCCATCAATAGAACCAGATAAAATACTCTTCTGGAGTCCATCAGGGCTACAGCTTCCATTTTGATGAATATTACTACTGTCAGATGTAGAAACATTGCGAACTGAGGTATTTGGAGTTGAACCTTGTGGAAGGCAAACTCCCCCATCAGTCAAGGAGGAGCTTGCTCGAATGCCCAAAACACTGTTTTCCCTTGAACAATCGGATATTGATAGAGAAGTCATACCCTCCTCCTGTTTTTTAAATTTTACTTCTTTCCCAACCACATGCCTGAACCAAAAGAAGAAATGTGAACTTTCTTGAATAGAAAGAAATAAAACATTGATTACTTTCATTAAATGATTATACTATTGTCATTTTCATTATCTTTAAAAGATTGTCCAGTATAATTTTATGCTATAAAATTCCACCAAACCAATGTTGTCAATTGTAGAGAATATTGATTACTCCGAATTCCGCTATGCTATAGTGCCTCTATTTTACAACACGGGTGAGCATGTCGTGAATCGCAGACAATGTTATAGTACCACTATTGCCACTGTTCCACAATACTGTAGCAAACTGACCCCTAATAATTAAATTTGACATAGGACAGGTGGCAACAGGCAAATGGAGCGAGGGATGTAGACGATTCTGGGAACAGGTGAAAAATGATCAAGGAAGGAGAACATAATAAGGGACATGACACTCGTTTAGTTTATTGGATGCCATTTAGCATTCTATTTTTCTTGTGAAAGAAGGCATCCTCCATTTCTGTTCTTAGTTTCAGTTTAGTCAGGAGGTGTTATTTCTGTTTTTCTAATCAAAACTTGTTCCTATCAAAGTCTAAGCTGGAAAAAACAAATATTTGCAGAAGTATGATTTCAATTAGGAAAGCTGTAAGCATAAGTTCACCCTGTCAAATTTATGCACATTTGAAGAACAATTTTTGAAACTCAAAAGTCTAAGCCTTTGGATTAGACTGAAAATGGCTTGTTTAGAACTTCACTCATGAGCTAAAAGTTTTAGCTTCTCTAGAAAAGTTTCCTCCTTTATGAAAATTAATAATAAGAAAATAAAAGTAAATTTTCACACACATAAAGAATAAACAAATAAATAAGCAGGCAGTAAAAATTGTTTATTCTCATTATCCTTTCTATTTCAATTCTACGCTATAGATGGTTGTAAACTAGTATTTGTAACAGGCAAAAAAAGTAAGCTTACTTGTCATTGATTTTACTGCTGTCACCAGATGTTTGCTTCATATCCTCACAAACCATCACCATATTCTGAGGCATGGCGAAACTATTTTCAGGTAACGATTCTCCACTTTCATTGGGACCCGCCACAGAATCAAGATTTATTCCACCGTGATCAAATGTATCAGATGCATTTGAATGGATCACATGTCTGATACTTTCATTGGCACTTGGTGGTAATGATGGACCTGGTGAATCTTGATTGCTTCCAACTTGACAATATTTCACATCAACATTAGGAGAGATTTCTTCATGCATTACAGCTTGTGAATCTATTTTAGCAGGTGCACAGAACACGGAACCACTAAGATCTTCACCAATTTGGAGCCTAGTGCCAGGGGCTGGGATGATATCCTTGCCAGACTCATGTTTTTGTGACTTGGTCAACTGTTTATCCTCTTCAATAGATGACTTGTCCTCTATTAAACTCATTGGATTTGAACAGGTTGAAAAACTACACACTCGGCTATTGGAACAATCAATGCCACAAGAGTCCAAGCCTTTCAGTTCTAAATCATCACTTCCTTGGTTATCAATAATCATACAAGAACATCTCTTGATTGCAGCAGATATACAGCATCTACCACTTGATGGCATTTCAGAGGGTGGTGATTCAATACAAGCTCCTTCCGCTGCAGCGGCAGCAGCATTCGCAGACATTGCTTTTAATGCACGATTGATGCGTTTAGATGGAGGTAAAGCAGATTCATCATCCATAGAGAAGCTAAATAATTGGTTTTTCTTAACTTCGGAAGTCTGTGACCCATTTTCGGAACAGTGAGTTAATAACTTAGGAGAATCACTAGCCAAATCCCTATTCAATGCCGATGAGTCTCCATCAGCAAGGCAACCATTTTCACTATTTGATGATGTGATAATCCGCAATGGTGAAGCATTAACAATAATAGTTTTCTCTTGTACTGGTACAATTCTATTGTGTTCTTCCCCCGTGGATGATGAGTTAATCATTCTAACTCTGGCTCGCTTTGACAGGGGTAAGTGTTCATCTCCATATTGGTAGCATTCCACTTTTGGATTTTCAGATATATTCTGCAAACTTTGATTGGCATTCTGAACACAAGCATTATTGGTTTTCCTTGTCCTGTTTGGTTTTCTTTTCTTCTTGCCAATTACAGCCTTCATTTCACGATCAAGGACTTTGTTTAACTCGGTTTCATATTTAGAGCCCTCAATAATCTCAGATTGTTCAGAACCATTTTCCACCAAGCTAACATTTGAGGCAAATGCAGATGAATTATTATCATTGGAGCCAAAAAGGTCAGGTGATTTCTTGATAATCCTTCTAATAAATTTGTTCTGAATTGTTTCAGATGATATGTTGCCATCACTATTGCCACCATTATTTTTACCATCACTACGATGTAGAACAATGTTTTGTATCTGTGATGAGCTTCTGGATCTTTGAACTGGCTCTTTTTCTTGCTTCACTGGCAAAAAAGATTTTAGAGTTCTAGTTGCAACAGGTACACCAAATGAGTCGTCCTCAACTGCATAAACTTGCTCATGTCTGCCAGTCATAGAATTTGATAATTTCATTTGTGAATTACCTGTCCAAGGAGTATTTAACTGATCTTTGAACCCTGAGTTGGAAGATGGGTCAAGTGGACTTCCAACATCTGCATTAGCAACTTCGCCACCAGAGCTAGTTTCATCAACTTGAGTCCCTCTCTCTAACTTATCATAACATTCAATAATCTCACTTAATGCACGAACAAAATCAGCACCCCTTCCTTGACGTTTGGCAAGAGACTGTTTCTTCTCTTCAGTAAATGCCTCAATATCAGCATGATTGCAGAAAGCACTGCAGGAAATGTCATTTCAAACTAAGAAAACTTGCAAGCAGAATAAATTTAGGCATGTACATGGGTAAACAACTAAATGCTAACAGAAAGATTCAACATTGCAAAACAATTATAAAAGCTCTTAAATATAAACGCAATTAGTTTAAAAATAAAAATAAAAAATTCAACCATGAACATACATCCAATGAATGGAATTCAAATTTCAAAACCTCTTTCACAATCCTTTCTTACCCCTTCACAAACATAAAATTTCAAATATATATAAAAATATAGATGTAGCACTCCAAAACCCTTCCCTCCAAAAATCAACTCACAAACAGACCCTAAGGGTCTCATTTTCAGCATCTAATTAAGACTGAACATACAGACCTGGAGTACAGATCATAGATTCAGTTGGAACTGATTACATGATCCATTTGTCACATACTTTTTACACCTAGATAGAAGGATAGCTCTAATATTAAATTCATCTTTGCTGCTGATGGAAATTCCATTATGGCTAACATCTCTCGCCAACGCTATCATTAAAAATGTTCCTCGCATTCCAATTTTCAAAGATCTCCAACAATATTCTCTCTTTTTACCAACTACAAGCATTGATTGCATGGTTACTTTTAATTCTTCTTGTCATGTCTTTCAGCAAAAGAGGTCTAGGGCGAAGATAGGATACACTAAGGAGTGCAGTGGATTACATTTTCATTAGAGTGCCAAAACTCTTTCTACAAAAAATTATGTGTGGCGATCTTAGTTGTCACGTCCATTCTACCCATAATGTCTTGAAGGATGGATTTGGTTAGGTAAAGCATGGTTAAGGTCATGTCATTTCTCTTTGATGAAAATTGAAACCTATGTATCCTGCTCTGTTGGACGATAATGAAATCAACACTTCACACTGAATCATAGTGTTACATTCCTAATGGTGCTACATTGTAATAATACTTCCTAAAGTATTTGCACAAATATCTTCAAGGTGATATATAATTGGATGTATAAGTCAAATATTATTACCTTGTCAGTGCATACTTATTAAATTTTTAAAATAAACTTGCAGTTATTTTGGTTGACTTTGTGTATGTTAGCAACCATGCTTCCGACATCAACCATACTTGTGTTTTTTTTGTTATAATACATCTGAGCCATAATGGGCAAGCTAAATAAAAAATCGCATAAATAAACAAACATTAACATCACAGGAAGACAACAATTATTGAAACCATCACTTTGTTTTGGTAAAAAAAAAAAGTATTTAAATAGACAACATACTCTTAAATTTTAAACATCTATGCAAAAAGAAAGCCACCTTAATATGTGAATACTATTTATTTGATTCCTCTAAAGTGAGGTACTCAATCTATGGGGAGTAGTGGAAGAGTTAAAACTATTGAAATAGAAAATAAATAGTTAAGTTTGTGATGAAATAAATGCAGTATGAATATATAACAAACTATATAGTCAATTAATTCACATGCTTGATTTTCTCAACAAAAATTATAATGCCTCGCATTTCCCTCTTCAACAATATGTTTAGTACACCTACCTGCTCGATTAAGGAGTCCTAGAAAGAATAACTATTTAGATGGAAATTATTTATCAACACCCCAACCTCTAATACAAAACAAACAAATCTCTGACATGTCAATTAGAATACCACACGTCCACGCCACAGTCAACCCTTACTGCTTACCGTGATAGTCCTAAGCCACAAACATAAGATTAAAACCAATATCATACAACTTGTGTAATTATGCGCGGCCTTGGTTTTGACATCAAACAGTATACATTGGATTCTAAAAGTTATATACATGCATATCAATGTAAAGCCATAGCAGTGGCAAATTCAATCAAAAGAGATATGGATTTGAATACATACATTTGATCAGTTCCAAAGAAGAGAACAAATACTTTCTTCCGATCCGCTGAGTAGCCCCATTTATTCGGGTCACTTACCTGCCATCAGCAAAATAATTTAATCAGCCATATTAAATCTCTGTAAAAACAAAGAAATGAAATAAAATGCATCCACAGCAAACATATCAGATATACTCCTATATAACCCTAGGAAAAAAACTGCAAGCAACTGCCCCATGCTTGTAGAAGCCTCTGGTTCCAAAATTTCAAATCAAAATTCAGTTAAATAAAATGCATCCACAGCAAATACATCATATATATACTCCTATATAATCATAGGAAAAAAAAATGTGCAAGCAACTGACCATGCTTGTTAAACCCTCTCTGGTCTCCATCATTTCAAATCGAAATTCTGGAAACCTTTCGGCCCTACTCAAGTCAAGCATGACGCTCAACCTTTACAGTAAACATCTCCATAAGATTAACATCAAATTAAGCCAAATCCATGTGACACTAAATTACGATTCTACATTTCTACTACTAGTACAAGTTTAACATAACAGAAACCAGAAAATGAGATAATCAAAGTCATGCAGGCACAATAACCTTCGATTATGAAATAGATAAAAACAAAACCGAAAATCAACTCGTTTAACGATAAACCCTATACACCATAACAAAAAACGGCAGAAAGGAAAAAACTCGAAAAGTAAAAACAAGGCAGTGTGCTATTCTAAACAGCAAAATTATCGAACAAACTCAAAGTTTAAGCAAAGATTAAGAAGCAGCACTCACCGTTGCAGGCCAAGCAGGGAAGCCTTTCACTTTAGCCAGCACGAGATCGCCGTTTTTCCATTCCCGGCAAGCATCAGCTGCGGCAACTGATTTCTTGGCGCCCTTTTTTCGAGTAGGTGCCATTGGAGAACCGCGAAAGCGCTAGAGCGAAACGATGAACAGCAATATCTGCAAAATCAAAGAGTTAGAACTGAAAATTGGATGAATAATGAAAAGGTTTTAGCACAGGGTGGGGAATTGAGTGAGGCATTGAAAACTAACCGAAAGTGGTTGAGAGAAACCCTAATTCTCAAGGGTTGAAGAGTTGGAGAATAAGTGAAAGTGGTTTGGGGAAGAAAGAAGACATGAAGTAGTTAGGGTGCGCAGTGAAGGTAGTGTTGTTTTCAATCCATACTCGTGAACTGCGCTCTTTTGCTTATACAAAAAACGGCCCCTTTTATTTCACTTCTTACCTCAGGCCGATGACGTGGCTTGGAAAAAAAAACCTAAATTTCAGTGTTTATCAAAAAAAAATTGTGTAGAAATAGTATTATAATGTATTTTATTTTTGTATAAAGGAAAAAATTGCAAAAATGGAGAGGGGGAAGGTGAATTGTACCAAATCAAATGAATTTAATTTTGTTGACCAAATATAAATATTAAAAATATATAAATAGAGAAAAAAATAAAATTATTAATAAAGTATGTTTATTAAGTATTAAAAAATTCACTTTTATAATAAATATAAAGTAAAAAATTAAACTAAATTCTTCTAAATAGTAATAGTTAGAAGGTACTATTATAAAATTGATATTGTGTAAAAATTAGAAAATGTTTCATTATATTAAAAAATTATAAATATATCATTTATAAAATTTTGACTATAATTATATAAAGTGATTAATATATTTATTTATTTATTTTGGCAAAGAATACATTGAATAGTATATTTTTATTTTGCATAATTTCTAGTTTCTTTGCATATTACATTGAATAGTAGTTGTATATTCGTTTAATATTACTAATAATCGCTATTTTACAATTAGTGGTGATTTTAGTGATAAAAACATTGTATTCTAATTTTACAATATTTTTTATAAGATAGAGCGAACAAAAAATTATAAGTTTAACGTTTTTATAATTTTATATTTGTATTTTATTTTATTTATTAAATTCAAATTTTGTAAAATGCATATACTTTACTTAATTTTATATTTGTATTTTATTTTATTTATTAAATTCAAATTTTGTAAAATGCATATACTTTACTTTAAATTAGTGCAGTTTTTGCATTTTAGAATAATACATTTGTTCTGAACTGGACCAGGATCTGCTCCTCTGACGGACAGGCCCAACTCAATATTATGTTGATGAGGTCCAACAAGGTTCAATCCTCTCTGTCGAGCACAAGCTCCAACAAGACACACTAGTCGGGCAGAGCATTCTCTGACACGGAGAGAGCTCATGCGTTTTCCCCACAGACTCCACGTACCTCCACACGAAGACACGTCATCAGACAACTACCCACTTCCGAAAGAGTTGGTCAGCCTGCCTTCCGAAGATCACGGGACAGTTGATCCAAGGCGAAGATCACGTGTTGGTCTTTACTACACCACGTAAGCTCTGGCGGTTACTTGTGTTGGGCTTGACAATTTGGTTCACTGCAAATTTGCAATGTAATTGTTGGCCCTGCGCTAGGGGCACATTATAAATACCATTTTTCACTAGAGGGTCAGGTATTCTATACACTACACCTTTTCTTTGTACTTGCTCTCTCTAGTTCCGTTGCTCACTTAAGCATCAGAGCATCTTGTAGGTACACCCCATTTCTCCTCTATAACACCGGTGAAGGCAGCAACTTACGACGCATGGCAGGTTACTGACTCCTTTCTGATCAGGTACGACCGGTGGCGCCATCTGTGGAAATTTTTTGCTTCCCCGTTCTTTCTCCTGTCCAAGCATAGAAGCTCAAAAACCAAAGCAACATTCAACTTCCATTCTAATCATGGTCAGCTCACACGACGACAATGCTCCTGAAACCGCCTTCACTCCCTTCACCAACGGAGACGGCCACGACCCCAATGCGACCGTCCGCAACGAAGAAGACGACTACAGGGACGGGCGCACCGCCTCTCCCTCCTCGGAAGACCCAGTACACAACCTAGTTGTCCAATGTTGTACTAGATAAGAAACATAATGTAAAATGGAGAATGTGTGTTGATTATACTAGTCTCAACCGGGCATGTCCCAAAAATGCTTACCCGTTACATAACATCGACAAACTCATCGACAATTCTGCAGGTTCTAAAATGTTATCATTCATAGACACATACTAGGGATACAATCAAATCCCCATGCCTAAGGCTGACAAGCAACACACGACCTTCATGACTGAGTCGAACAACTATTACTACAACATAATGCCCTTCGTATTGAAGAACGTCAACGCGGCCTATTAGCGGATGATGAATAAGGTCTACTGGGGAGAAATCGGGGACATGCTTGAAGTGTACATGGACGACATAATCGTAAAATCATTAGAAGAGGTCGACCACACCATCCACCTTAAGAAGGTCTTCGCGACAGCGAGGAGGTGCAGGATGAGGTTCAACCCCGAGACGTGCACCTTCGGCGTACAGGCAGGCAAGTTCCTCGGATTCTACCTGACAGAACGAGGAATAGAAGAGAATCCAGACAAGTGCAGAGATTTCTCCGAGTTTGCCATGCTGAGCACAAAGAAGTTCATCCAATCACTAAATGGGATGCTCGCATATTTGTCATGATCCGTCGCCAAGTCTACTTAGCACGCCCTTCCCTTCTTTAAGCTTCTACGCAAGGAGGTCGTATTTAAATGGACCTAGGAGTGCGAAGAGGCCCTCCTCTACCTCAAGCAAGTCCTCTCAGAGCCACCAGTGATGTCAAGGCCTGAAGCCGAGGAAACCCTACACTTGTATCTCGCTGTCGCCACGGAGGTCGTCAGCACAGCCCTGATCCGCGAAACTCCCGAAGAGCAAAGCCCTCCAAGGTCCCGATCTTAGATACTAGCAAATAGAGAAGACCGGTCTGGCCCTCATCATTGCGGCTAGGAGGTTACAGCATTACTTCCTAGCCATATGATCATAGTCAGAACCGACTAGCCCATCAAACAGCTACCTAGGCGGCCGAATATGTCGAGAAGAATTCTAAAATGGTCGCTCGAACTCTCCAAATTTAACATCCAATACGAGAGTAGAAAATCCCTTAAGGATCAAGTCCTGGTCGACTTCGTTACAAAGATGGCTTCCAAAAAGTTTCTGACCCCCAGGGAGCACGAATGGACCATCTTCGTTGATGGCGCCTCTAGCTTGACAAGAAGTGGAGTGGGCATCATACTGGAAAACGAATAAGGTATCTTGATAGAAGCCTCCCTCTCTTTGGCATTCCCAACGTCTAACAATCAGGCCGAGTACGAGGCGTTCCTCGTAGGACTCTGTCTGGTTGAAGACCTTGACGCGAAGGAGGTAAAGATCTTTACCGACTCCCAGCTCGTGGCATCCCAGGTACGGGGAGAATATCAAGCCAAGAACAACAACCTCGCCGAGTACCTCTCCTTGGTAAGAGAAAGAATGAAAAGCTTTAATTTTGCAGAGGTACAACACGTTCCACGCGAACACAACACCCGGGTAGACATCTCGTCAAAACTGGCTAGCAAAAAGAAGAAGGGTGGAAAAAATTTGTAATCCAGGAGGTCCTCTCTCGCCCCAGCATCGAGAGGGGCACGATAACTGCTGAGGTAAACGCTATCAACGACAGTGACTTCTGAATGACCCCTGTCTATGCCTACCTTAACACAGGACGTCTGTCCGACGATGCCAAAGAGGCGAGCATGGTTAGACATTGAGCCTGCTCGTGCGTCTTGATTGAACACAAACTATACAGACGGGTATTCTTTATTCCTTCCTCAAGTGCATCGACGAATCCAAGGTATCGGGCATACTCCAAGAGATCCACGAAGGGATCAACGCCCAACACCTCGGCAGAAGATCACTTGCCCGCAAGGCCCTACGAGCGGGATATTATTGGCCTACCATGCAGCAAGACGCTAAAGAGCACGTCAAGAAGTTTGACAAATGTCAACGACACAGAGACATACACTTGGCCCCGCCAAACAAGCTCAAAACACTTTCGTCACTATGGCCATTTGCATTGTGGAGTATGGACATACTTGGGCCTTTCACCATCGGATCTTACCAAAATAAATATTTGATAGTCGGCGTCGACTACTTCACTAAATGGATAGATGTTAAACCGTTAGTCAAAATCACGGTCCAAAACATACTCCATTTCTACAAACGGAAACATATTTTCCCGGTTCGGCGTGCCCCAAGCCATTGTTACCGAAAAAGGGACGCAATTCATCGACAATAACTTCCAGGACTTCGTCACCAGGCTGGGCACGAAGCAAAATTTCATGTCGATCGAACAGCCGCAGATGAACGGGCAAGCCGAAGCCGCTACCAGAGTGATTATGCGCGACCTGAAGCGAAGGCTGGGAGACGCCAAGAAAAGATGGGTTGAGGAGCTACATAGCGTCCTCTGGGCTTATAGAACCACCTTGCACTTGACAACCGGGGAGACCCTATTTCGAATGACCTACGGGACTGAGGCAGTGATTTTAGTGGAAATAAGGGAACCTTCTAGGAGAACCGAGTTCCCCCTCCCCGAGGAGGCAAACGACGAGGCACTAAGGAAAGAACTCGACCTAGTTGAGGAAATCAGGTCGGAGGCCTCCCTACGAGAAGCCTCGCTGAAATAAAGGATAACCTTGTGGGGTGACAACAAAGTCATCAAACGCGAATTCCAAGTGGGCAGTCTGGTCCTACGAAGGAACCAGAAGGATTCACACGAGGGCAAGATCGTCGCAAACTAGAAAGGCTCCTACTGTGTCCGAGACAAAACGGGCAACAAGGTCTATTACCTCAAAAACCTACACTGGGAAGAACTTGTTCGGCCATGAAACGCAGAAAAATTCAAGTAATACTATAGTTAGACATTGTTCGCGACCCGTTGGCGTCGCAACCACAGTGGCGCAACAGGGTAAAGACGTGACTCCTAACTTTAAAAACAAAAAGACAAGAGTCAGCCCCTTGCGTGTGCGGGCAAGA